ATTGGACAAGAATAATACACATATCGTCATTTATACTTCTAATAGAAAAATTTAAATCGATGCTATAATTGCTGTTCATGTCTTAAGATATGATATCTAATCTTATTGCATTTTGAAAGCCCTTTAATCAAAATAATTAAATTCTTGTTTAGAGCTCTCTGAGTATCTCATAGTTTCTTGCTAAATTGACACTTAAAACAATAGAATTCAAGATATCGGCCATAAAAAGGTCGATAGCATACTACTGGAACCAGTTAGGAGAAGGATGGATATATTGTTATCCACTGCATAGAGAACCATAGAGTTTGTATGGATCTTCTGGGACTGGTTGTAATAAGGTGGCATAGAGGTATAAATCCACCAGATAAAGTTTTTCACTCCTTTGATTTTATATGGATTAGATTTTATCTGCTGGATAAGGGTTTAACCAGTGGATATATAGTGCTATTCAACCTGTTCCACCAGCCCAGCAACTATGCATTTTTTCCTGTTTAAATCATGAATAGCCTATTAATAATTGTTAGATTGTGGTTTGTTTTAATAATTAATTTACACATTAAAGTCATGTACAATGATAAAAATAATGGGCTAACTTCAAAAAATATATCTATAATATACTATAGAATCAATTTATTCATAAGCAGGGAGATTGGAGATGGGGGGGGGGGACCTTTAAAGGCTAGAAACAAATTTACATTATAATTGATCACCTTAAGACTTGAAATCTCTATATTTAGTTGACATGTGCACAAACTAAGTTTTTTTTATTCCTTAAAACAATATACTGTGAGTGATAGCCCCCCCTTTCTTTAAAAACCACCAACGTCCCTACTAAGACCTAGATGTGTATCATACAGGCAGTAGTTGTCTTGATCTATAAGTAACAGTTTTTGATGGAGGTTTCCATGATATGCCATCGCCATAAGGGTGATGCGATGAAGGTAATAGTATACTCATCCATGACCTGTAGATAATAAACTTATATTACTACAATTTTCATAAATATGCAAACTCCCCAGGGGGGACTTCCCTATAAAGGACTTCCATATAAAGCATGGTAGGTATGCTCGACAGACGGATTGAAAAATGACCCTAAAAGGTACGCATAAATTAATTCAGGTATCAATTCCAGACCCTAAAAGGTACGCAATTTTTTACGTCTTTAACAAGAGAAAAGCTCAAGTTTAACAAACTGTAGAAAATCAATGTCGATAGATTGTTGAGGTTAAGAAAATCTATTTCTTTATTAAAACTTCTTCAATTTTTTCCCCATTGTTCAAAAAATGACCMAAAAATGTATGGAGTCAGCTCAGGACCCTAAAAGGTAAGCGAGTGTTTTATTTTTGACCCTAAAAGGTCCTTCGAGCATACCTACCATGCTACCTACTGCACTGTTTTGGAGACTCCACACTCATAACCCACAAAGCTCTTAACATTAATCAGAAGTTTGTTTGGTTTTTAGAGAAAAGTATTGTATCAGTTTGGTTAGCAAAGTTATAAAAGCAGCAGCTAAATAGAAGCTCTAGAGTATTCTTCAAATCATGTTTGGGTCAATAGGAGGTGGCAAGCCTGTAGGCCTTTATTATATCATTCAGTACCTGTTATTCACAATACCTAGCAGTTTCTTCCAGTTTTGCCATGGCCCATAATCATAGGGATTTTTGTACACCTACAAATGAAATAAATATAAATAATAATATATAATATCCATGCCACTTTCAAAAATGATGGCAGGGCATGGATGCTAATCAAGGGGGGGGGCTAATCAAGGGCTTATCTAGGGAGGGGCAAAGGGAGGCTGTAGCCCGTCCTTTATTAATATATGTAGCCCATTTATCCCCCCTTAAAACCATTTAGCTGACCCCTTGCTATGATGAAACACAGGAACTAGAGCCACCTCAGAGTCTAGAATTTCAACCAATACAGAAAATACCTTTCCTAGTTTCCTATATTCAATTCTGTTCTTTTTATTAATGTGTAATTCAATTGAAGTCTCTCCTTTAAGAATGAGCAAAATGTGCCAGCCAGAGAGTAGTCCTAGTGCTATGGCAACTGCAGAGCACAACATGAAGACAAATATTATGCTGTTGTGGTCAAAGTCTTCAACATTTTCATATCTTCCTAGAAACATGGCAAACTGAAATACAAAGACAAAAGAGACATAAACTGTAGAAGTAAGTATAAAATATAGTGCATTTGTATTACAATAACTACCATATGGTTTACCTACATGTAGTAAGTCTTTTCTTCCAAAATTGGAGAAGAGCTGGCAATGTTGTTCCCTGGTTAGTGGGAGCCAGCATTTTTCAAAAGGGGGCTTCATTTTTGATAAACAAAAATGCTTGTAAAATGTCGAATATGATTTAGAAAACCTGAGCAGTAGGAAGTGTTTTCAATTTTTTCAATATCATTGTTATTTGATGCTGGAGTGGACAAATCTATAATAGGGGAAAGTTTTCTTGCACACAGAGACAATCAGAAATAATTATAAATTGTATCCTTTTGGACTTAAATGGATTTTTGTTTTGTGTATTTATTCATTCATTCATTTGTTTGTAGTCTTGTTTGGATTATATGTAAGTAGCCTTCAGTGTTGATTAGAAAATAAAGACATGTACCTTTTTCTGAAATGATACATCTTCAGTAGGTTTTATAGGCTTTGACTCAGTTTCCTATAATAAAGGATTGTACACAAAACATTATCTACTTATTGCTACCATCAACAAAACACTACACCATGGGAGTCCATATGTAATTACTACATCAAAGGACTTGAAAGTGATTTGAGTTTGTATGTTTGTTCTCTCATGTAGTATTTTAGTATTTTCTTGTGGAAATTAGTTTTCCTCTCTCACACAACTGTGAGAATAGCTATGTGATAAAACATTATTGGGTAAATGTTGGGAATTAAGAGAGAGCATCGACAATACCTTACCTTGTCATCAAAGAAATGCTCAACAAACATTCTCCATGAACTAAGAGCAACATACACACTCCCAAGACACATATAAATACAAAAGAGAATAAAGTAGCGATGATTGAAGTGACCAACGCAATTATTGATCCAAGCTTTGATATCAATTTTAAGGATAATATGTAGCAGAGCATTGAGTATGGAGTTTTGGAACAAGTGTGTACTAAGAGCTGGGCTTGGTGTGCACTTTTAAAAACCTACTTAGGGAATAGAAGTTCACTTGAAGAAAGGCTATTGTGAAGCAAGGAATCTTTTAACTTAGATGCTGCAGCAGCACAAAGTGAAATAGTAAATTTAGTGAACTACAATGTCTTGTGTGAAAAGTTATAAAATATCCTATAAAGAGAAATCATATATCACAACACACTCTTAACTGCCATACACAGTAATTACAGTACTGTATCACACTGTGTGCGAGAGCAACTAGACAGTGTAAGATGTGCAAGAGCAGACAAAGTAAGTCTTTATAAATAAGACAACTTTACATTCAGGATACGACAATGATGATCCATTTTTAAAACACATCTGCAACAAGAAAATGCATTATTAGAGTAAGACAGGCTTTCAATTGCAGTGAATAAAAGCCATTTCTAATGCATGGCTGTGGTGGATAACAATTCCAAGATAATAGTTAACCTATGATCAGAAGAAGTGAGCAAAAACATGAATTAAATTGGATAACTTACCTTTTACAAATGGAGCAGTGGTGGGTTCTTTCAGGCTTGGACTGAGAGCCTAACAAATATGAAACATGCATAATATATATTCTCACCTTTTTTTTCAAACAAACAAATTGTTAGAGGATTACGGCAGTGATCCTAGGGAATTTTCTTTGATACCCTTGACCACTGAATATGTAGAGGATGGCATTTTATTGCGGCTGCACTATGCAACTTCGCATACAAGACAGAATTGTACCCTGTAAATGTGGGTATGTCTATGGCCTCTATGACTACGTCTTAATATATCAAGCTTTTGAACCTAGTTCAAAACACCTACATGTAGACTCATACAGGTTGTACAACCTAATAGAGGATTATAACCACTATCTTGATGGCTGACCATTTAACAGGAGACCTACCATAATTGTAAAAATCATAGAATTGACTTACATTGTCTGCAAATTACATAATCTTGCTCTTTTACTTTCAGGGACAGCTCCTCAAGCTGTTAACATAAAATAAAGTAGTTAGAAAAAAATAAAGTAAATTATAATTTAACATAAAAAATAAATGTTAGCACTAAAAATAATGCAAAATACAATAGGAAATAATATTTTTAGTAAGTCTTTGATTTATTTACCTTTGGTGAGTAACCAGGACTTGTAAAAACAGATTTAAAATAATGAAAGCAAATATTTATGAGAAGCCAGTGCGACAGTATGATATGGAATATTATCCAACATATATGGTCCTCAAGGATCATGGGTAATATAGAAGCGTAATAAATAATGACAACACTTGCTATCAGTCCAATGACAAGAACTACAAAAATCTGTGGAAAAAAAGTTTACATTAATTTACATTTATCATAAAATATATCTTTAAACTTCATGTTTTTTGGAGTAACGTTGCAAAAACTTTTTTTTCATGCTTTGCTGCACAAAATGGATTATATACTGCACAATTGCTTATTATTCACAGGTAACTACATGTATCAATATTGCATGCTCAAAAGTCATCTCACTGGAATATGCAAAGAAACTGTCTTTCTTTGTGTTGCTTTATTTTTTTGTAGTTTATGTTTGAACATATTGAAAAGGAACAGTTATGTTTAGAGTGTAGGACAGGATACATCTTAGAGTGCCTTATCATCTTGAATATACAAGCTGTATGTAGTAAAAAGATGGAAGACAGTGTCTGCAGTGATACATAGCTCAGCCACTGACTTAGTTTGATAGAAGTTAGAATCAAAATAGCAGCTTTCAAGATTGCCCTGGAAACAATAATGGATTAAATATTGCTGTTTACAGAAAGGGAAAAGACTGCTATAATCAATAGCATTGCATCACATGTTAAACTATCATCATTATTAACATTACTATGATCATTATTCTCAGTCCACCAAACCAAAATAATGATACATTGGTATAGCATTACAAGCAAAACGTTGAAAGGAAGGCAATGACTAATTAAAAGACACCACAGGAACCCCACTATAACTCATTTACGCAACACAAAATGAGTATCAACCATTCAAGCACTATTTAAATGCAAACCTACCGGGCCGAGTACACCAACAAAGTAATCCACTATCCACAGGATAGGTTTAAACGCCGCATCAAGAATGACTGCTTTAGAGTTGGTCTTGTTAAAAGCAAGCGATCGTAAAGTGAACAATCCAACACGGAACAAGGTGAAAATTCGTTTGAACATCATTCATGATTTGATGCAAAGGGAAGAAATAGAAGTATGCAGAGGCTAAATGAGTAATATATTAGCCTGGAAGCAAGGACCGTGTCAAACGAGTGGCATATTTTGGTTCAAACAAGGTCTAAACGGAAGAAGACACGCCGCACTTGTTAGTACTAATGGTCGAATCCGCTGATCAGTAGTACACACGGCGCGTTCAAAATGAACAAAAATGACGAAAGAAAAAAGTTGAATGAAGTGAAGTGAACAAAAAGGAAATAAAAATAAATGAAAGTTATTATAAAAAAGAAAAGAAAAGATTAGGACATAATGAAAGAAATGGGAGAATTTTGTAGTATGATTCTGGCGCGCATAGACTGGTAACTAGGGGTAGGAATAGAGGATCTGCTGATTGTCTTTTTGTGTCGGACAAGTTGAAAGTTTATAAATTAGAAAAGTGTCCTTTTTGACACGTAAAAGTCTCTATAATATGTCTTATTGTACTTTATCATCCGATGAAAAGTACAGAGATACGTTTGAACCAGGTAGGTTTGATTTAGAGTAAAAAATAAGTTAATAATTTGGACATGTGCGCTCCTATGACAACCTTGATGAAGGAAAAACCTGTTTAAGTTAATCTAACTTAAGCTTAAATGTTTACCGCGTAGAACAAAAGTCATGCTGGTACAATTCACTTAAGTTTCACTGAATGCAGATGTCCAACAATCTGGCTTAGAGAGATTAGTGGGTCAAACTACTTGACACATAATTATTGGGTTTTTGATTGAAATGCGCATAAGGCTAAAAGAAGTAGGATAAATGGGATCTGGTATCAGTATTATTATCGGTCTTATGTACAACAGTCTATAGTATTTTAGCTGGTGACAAGACAAAAATCCAGCCGCACAGTGGCAGAGTTACCCAAGTACAAGATCCAGTACAGGTATCCTAAGCTAGTATTTGTTTGTTTTTTAGCAATTTTTTCGAAATATATAAATTTCAATGTAAATAAATACCTCTACCTGTGTTTTGTCCCTCTCCTTAGCATGCCAGGGAACAACAGCTATTAATTGTTCAATATTGAAGCAAATGACTTTTGAATATTCACAATTGCAGGTAGAGATGTTTATTTTTATTGGAATTTAAATATTCCAAAAAAATGCTAAAAACCACACAAATACCTGCTTGGGATACCTGTGGATCCAGACCTTGTATCCAGGAACAGTAATCCGGTGGTACAGACTACCTGTGTGAAATATAGTGCCCATTCATAGTAAAAGGAAAAATTAATATATTTGCAGGTATTTATGTTTGTGCAAATTGTGGACACGAATTATTTCATAGCAAAGCAAAGTTTTCCCACAATTCTCCTTGGCCAGCCTTTACAGACACAGTAAGAGATGATAGCGTGGTCAAAGAAGTAGAGACTGAGTCCCAATCATCAAGTAATGCTCCAGCACTAAAGGTCAGAAAATTACCACAAGTTTACTTGTTACATAAAATTAGAGTCACGAAAACGCTACTCAAATAATCAACTTTAGATATTTTGGTTCAATGACTATGTACAAAAAAATACACACGAAGCTCTGGGAAAACAATGGATAACCTTGATTTATTCTTTTATTTCCCCGGAGCCTCGTCTGCAATTCTTTTGAGCATGGTCACTGAACCAAAATATCTAAAGTCAGCTATTCAAGACATTATCATTTCAGGTAATCATGGTTTTATTCAATCAACTTCAATCCTTTCCATCTTTTGTTTAGAGACTGTTCAGATGAAAAAAGTTTTCCGTTATATTCTAGACAAATTAAATGCACAAAAGCCCTTTTCATCTTTCGAAACCTGCATATTTCTTTTTTATTTCTTTTCCCCTTTCATTCTTTCCTTGTTCTCAGTCTTTCTGTATTTCACTTTTTTCATTTGACTTTTTTTCAGGTTTCTTGTGGAAACTGCAAATGTCAACTTGGTCATGAGTTCTTAAAGGATGGACCCAATGAAAAGTCAAGATTTTGAATTTACTCGGAATCTCTCAGTTTTCTCCCTCATAAGGAGAATGAACAACACAGTGTTTCTGAGTAGAGATCCTCTGGGATACAAAAATTACTAGATTTGTTAAAGTGCTACTTGCATGAAAATGGCCTTATTTCAAAACTTCAAAAAATACAAATATATGACTCATTTATATCTATTAAAAACAATTTTGGGAAAATATTTGTTTTGGAATCATCCCACATCAGAGAAATTTTGATTCAAAAGATGGAAGAACAAAAGGATTGAGTAAATGACGTCATTTACTTCAACATTTTTTGCTCAAATTATTAAGGATTTGTATCAATATCTTCTTGAAATCTGTTGCTTCATGATTATTAGACCCATATGGATAGGTCTATTTGATTTCTTTTCTAAGGTTTTGCAATTTTCATCCAAGTAGCCCTTTAAATGTTGAACTTAGTTCTTGACTTTCTAAGTGTAATTTTCTTAACTTAACCCTGCTTTTACAATAAGAACGCTACTCAAGTGAGTCACACTTTTATACATTTTCTGCACTAAATTACAACTTTGAATAATTCTAATGCTTTTATTAGCCCTGTGACATGGAATCTGGAACATTCCTGGATTCCGGATTCCAAGCTGCTGGATTCCAGATTCCACGAAGAATTTTGCAAGGATTCTGGATTCCACCATATTGGATTTAGAATGCAAAGCATCCTAGCTTTTTTAGGAAACATTTGAAACAAGCAATCTAGATTCTGGATGGTTTGGTTACCACTGCAGATTCCACATTTCAAGTGTCCGAAAAGCCAAAATTTTATCGGATTCCAGATTTTCTTTATGTTTTTCAATGATACCTTTTTGAAACATATTCATACTTTTTGCCATGAACTGCCTTTTGCCAGACTAAATATTTTGGCTTTAAAACTGCTTGATTTTAAGGGATCATTCAACAAGACTAAGTTAATGTTTGATAACCAAATTCTATAAAATCCTTGACTCCCCGGAAGTCTGTCTTGCTATGTATTCTCATAGTGACTTCCCAAAGGACTAGCTGTCAAAGTAAAAGAATTAGGCATAGCAAATATGGAGGACAAAGTATCTAATTAAAATTTAATTAAAAGGTAGCTTATGAAGTAATCCATTGACATCCATTTACAAATTGGAAAATGGTTTATAGATGTTCTACTTTAGATTCCCTTTTAAGATACAATAAAGTCCTTTTACATTCTATATCAAATGGTGTTATTAAATCGCCTATTTTTTAAGAAAGCACATGGCCTTTAGGGACTGAGCAATATTTATTAGGAGGAGATGGATTGAGAAATGAGCCACAAATTCAAAAAAGTTAATTAACCGCCCCTTAAACACATAAAATAAGAATTCGACCCACCCTCAAGAATCGAAAGCTTCCCCACCATCTCCTCCCAAACATACACACACACACCAACCGATAAATGTTGTGCAGTCATTCAGGAGCCCCCTATAGGCTACCCAAAAGGACAAAAATGGTCGATTATTGATCAAAATGCATGGGCTATAGCCCA